CATAAAATTCAACTACTAACTTTCACTTGTGACAGAATGTTATACGGTTAAAAGACACGCAACTACTTTGAAGATGACACGGTTACTGAGCTTCTTTAGATTAATACTGTAATTTTGTTGCAGGGTTAGGCATTTGGACCTAAAAATTCAAGTACAGTTTTCATTCCGTCCAACACAGACATTGCAAAGGCACCATGCCCTGAAGGTGAGAGGAGACTAACAGGCTGGTCCAAAAACGTTATTCAAACAGCAGTGTCCCCTCCACAGCTAAACACTCACTCACTTGGGAAAATGTTCCAAGGCAAAAGCATCCTGATAAGCGAAAAAGTAAATGCGGCACAACAAACTGGTAACGACTTTTGTATTTTGAAATTTTTCATAGTAACATACTGAAGAAAAAGGCATCATGAAAAAAAAAATCAGACTTCGAAACCTTAACAGATAATTTACCAACCGCTTTTAGGGATCTTTAAAATTCTAAAAGGAAAAAAACCCCCACCCGAACCAATACAGAAACTGTATACGAGGACAGTTTCTTAAAAAATACCTAAGACCGTAAATAAACACACTAACAAATCTTGCTAGAAAGGCTGTCATCATGGTAAATAAAGCCAAATGGAAACATTTGGCGCCTTTTCCCTACAGGTTTGCAACGCACCTTCACTTCGGAAGCGATTTCAAAGTGGAAGGACTTGAACATGAATCCCCAATCTCACTCAGGCCATTAACCATGTCGCTTTGCACCCCTCGACTCCTCAAGGCCCCCAAACTCTAGTCTTGGGACCACTAGCTCTGCACAGGCACACACACAAATAAGTAAAAAATACATGAGGTCTACGCCGAAGTCTCACTACCCGATATCCCCCAATACACAACGGTAACAGGACCGCAGTAACTAACCGGGCTGCAAAGAAAATGAAAGCGGGCGACTCCAGAAAGTCTACCATCGAGCCGTTGCGAGAGTCTGAAATGACCCTAAAAACCGGCCCCGGACCGGGTGACGGGAGAAGCGAGTCCGGATGCGGGTCGCCGGGAGGTCGGCGCCGAGGCCCCGAGGCAGCTTACGCAACCCGAACCCCCGCTTCCCAGCCCGCCTCAGGGGGCGAGACAAATTTACACCGGGGGGCGAGACAAATTTACACCGGGT